AGATGTGGAAAATGAATAGGATTTTTACTTCCAGACCCCTACTGTTGCAGTCTGTTCTTGTATGCATAACACAGATTGTATTTTCTCTCATTGTGTCCTTGTGTGTTTGTATCAGGGATGGACTTCTCTCTCAGAGACATGGCTTTTGGAGATCCCGTGCCGCCCCATATGGCAGCCTATAGGACAGAAATGGGCCTTCCCCACTGCGACTACTCTGTGAGCGTGGGATCAGACGCTGACACAGAAACGGATGGCATCATGTCCCCCGAGCACGCCGTCCGACTCTGGGGCCGTAGCAACACCAAATCCGGCCGCAGCTCCTGCCTTTCCAGCAGAGCCAACTCTAACCTCACCCTTACTGACACCGAGCATGAAAATACAGAAAACGGTGAGTTCAAATGTCTGTACGCTCTCTTCACAGTTCGACTGAGATTACGGCACCAGGCACAGAGGGACGTCTCCAGTTTAGCACCACATCAGTTCAGATTGAATGTGTGATGCCGCTTTTATATGGAAAGCATGGGTGGTTTGGGAGAGGTGGATTTTGTGACGTTCTAGTTTGATTTTTGAAACGCTTCTGTTTAAAATAAAATATCTCATGAGTGCTTATTTATGGAAATGCGATGTAATAATATGATAATTAGAGTTCTGTGTTTTTCAGTTTATCACTAACCTCCAAGTGCTATACAGAACTTAAAGAGTGATGGTATGTTTTCCATCCCTTCACATTCGGCTCAAAACAATGTCAGTATTAAAAGCAAAACCATTGTTACAAATTATTCTTTCTTTTCCTTTCTTTCTTTCTTTCTTTCTTTCTTTCTTTCTTTCTTCCTTTCATTGCTTTCAGCCATTTTTTAGATTAAATGACGCTTGAAGATCAAATGCCAGATTCAAATTCAGGTTACCTGCAAAAAAAAAAACAAACAAAAAAACCTCATGTTGGATCGTGTGCACTTTCTGTTAGGCCATGTCTTTGACACTTCTAATATTTTTCATTTCATTATCTGGTGACCTTTCTTATACAAATTTGGATTTTATTCAATGCTCCGTTATATTTACAGATGGATTAAGTGCAATATTTCTGCTGTGAAAAGAGATTAATTTATTATTAATAAAGTAATTATAGTATGATGCATGAAAGTCTCTGCTTCCTTTTGATTGGCCAGTGGCAAACTGTGATCCAGTCTCTAAAAATAAGCTACAAGAGACAGTATACAATGTAAAAGTTTTTTTGCTACATTTTTACCACATTCTTAAGCACAGTGTGATGCAGAGTGCAAAAAAAACAAAACATGGCAAACTGTAACAGATTTATTTTTTATGCATGTATTTTTTTTCATAAATTGTTTATGATAATAAACAGAATAACCAGTTCTTCCCTGAAGTAATATAGTTCAGTGATGAATTATCCATATGTAACCGCAATAAAATTAATGTATTTTGCATTTTTCAGTAATAATCTCCAAGGCATGTCTATGCGACGGAGCTAGAAGAGGTCAGATGCTTTCTGATGAGATTAGTGGCCCAAACAGAGCAGGCAGCCATCCTGGATCCATCCTCCTCAAGCTCGGTGCTTCCAAACGGTCCCCAAGGGCCCAATGAGTGTCTTTGCTTGCATAGAAGGTCACATTGTACTGAGACAGTGTCACAGTAAAACTTGTCAGGAGCAGGGTCTGATTAGAGGAACCGCTCAGTGAAACTGCAGGAATAAATGGAAAATCTCAGCATGAAATATTGAGTCTTTTATAAAGTAAGAACTTCCTATTGGGAATGCAAATGTTAGCTGTTTATTTCATGCGTTAAGGATTTAAACATGTATTAAACCAGGATAAGCATCTCTTGTTGTTGAATAATACAATTATCCTTTTGAAAAACTGCAGTTAAATGATATTTCATGAATGGCCTTTCAGTTGTGCTGACTAGCAGACTTAAGAGGAATTTGAAGGGAGAAAAAAAACAGCATATAACCAGTGTTTTTAATGGAAGGTCAGTAAACTTGGAGCACATGTAATTGTGTGTGTGTGTGTGTGTGTGTGTGTGTGTGTGT